CACACACATTCACACACTCCCCCAGCAAAAGTTCTAATCACCTTTTTTCAACCGCTCACACCTGAGTTCTACAGCACACGGGTCAGAATGATGGATGAAGCAATACAAATACACAGCATTCAATAAACGAGGGGAACCGGGGAGGAAGGAAACATGTCAGGATAATAAATACACCATGAGAGCAGCAGACAGGTAGGAGAGGTGAAACGAGACACATAAAGGCAACAAGTTAGCGCCTAAAAGGATCAGAGACTTGGGCTCCAGAACAGAGCAGAGCAGAACACGGCTGCGGACGGAACCGATTGAACACTTCCCAGAAGACTTCACCGCCAGTTATCAAAGTCGTCACCTGGAAGAGTTGGAGCTGCTTCAATAAATCCGTCCACGGCGCAACAATAAAACTCGCTGGAGAGAGCGATGAGGCGGGAATCAAATTAAAGCCTCGGGAAGACACGCTGCCTCTGAGCGGAGACGAGCTCCGGCTGATTCTGACAACATAAATCTGATTTTTTTTTGGCCTTTGGGGGTGGGGAGGGAGGGGGAGCCGGCACTAAAACCAGACGGGAGATGATCAGTCATCCATTCATTTGTTTATTCACTTGTCTGTCGCTGGTAAACTTCAGGAAAGACGTATGATTTCCCCAAACCTTCCCAAGTCGTCTAATTATTCACCTGTGAGTAATTTAAGGTGATTATAACTCCGGTTGTTCTGTGAAGGCCTCAGAGGTTCCTTAACGATCATTAAAACAACATCATGATTTCCCACCGCCATGAAAATTAGACTCTACTTCACCCAAACAATTCAGCTTGTCGCTGAGTTTAAAAGAACTGCAACCAAACCAACCCAATTCAAGATGGCCACCACAGCTAATACAATACAATACAATACAATACAATACAATACAATACAATATAGGGCTACCACGATTAATCGATGTCTAATCGATTATTAAAATAATCGATGACTAATTTAATAATCGATTAATAGTTTTCTTTTTTGTTGTTGTTCTTTACTTTGTTTTACTCTCCGAACTGCTTTTGACACCTTCCACTGCCACATCTGCCTTTCTGTCTATGACACACATGCACAGTAGTGGTAACTGGGGTAGGCCGTGGACGTCAAAAGACATTATACAGACAGGCTCTGGTATCATGGCTACCTGACAACAGAGCTCAAAAGTGTGGGATCATTTTAAGAAAAYGAAAGAGAAACCTGTRYAATATCTGCAGAGCAGAACTTGCCTTCCACAGCAGTTATTTTTAGTTAGCATATAGCTAAAATCTAACGATGGTTATATAATAGCAGCTGCATTCTGACGTGATAAGCTGTATGTTTTATATTCAATTAACGTATGATCCGATTAGTCGACTAATCAAATAAATAATCCGTGATTAATCGATTATTAAAATAATCGTTTGTGGCAGCCCTAATACAATACAGCCTTAGCAAATGCAAAAATAAAATAAAATAATAAAACAGCTACAGCACAGTCAAATTTACCAAATGGGTGTGCAGCAGCAGCCTGGATGCTTTTTATTTCCTTTCACGTACCTGGCACAGACGTCCCCAACGCCACGAACACCACGGCGGTCACAGAGTCCTTCAGGCCTATCGTGCAGCCGAAATGCGACGCCAGGTCGCCGGTGACGGCGGTCAGGACGCCGATCAGCGATATGGAGACGATGAAGCAGGCCCAGCCGTTCCAGTACTCCGTGGGCGGGACAAACGCGAACAGGACCTTCCAGAAGACGGTGAGGAAGTGCATGATGTAGTCGAAGCAGGACGGCAGCCGCTCCTCGCCGCTCTCCTCCTCGTCGTCGTCGCCTTTGGTGGGAAGTTGAAAGTGGAGAAAATTTAAATACCGTATTTATTCGTGTATAATACGATCTCATGTATAATACGCCCCCTCCCCCTTTTTTGAGCTTAAAAAGCATAAAAAAATTTAATCCTCAAACTACCTTCAATTTCATTCAGACTTCAAGATTTTTCAGCCTTTGCAGTCTTTATACATATCAGTAAAATGATCATTGGACTGTTCATTTTATTTTAACAACATATGTACTAAAAGGTATTTTGACAACAAATATATATCAGCTGTAGCAGCATCATATGAATTCTGGCATTTTACACATAGTCCACCAGGAGGCGCCAACACAAAAGTCAGAGACTTCACATGAGATTTGGGCCATCTTGTGGGGGAAAAGCAGATTACTTCCTACTCGTGAGCGCCCCCTCTGGTGGGGAAAAGTTTTTTCAGGGATACAAACTTTTTCAGAACACTGGTAGACAGCAGCCATTACAGACGAACATGTGTTTGTTGTTGTTCGAGGAGCTGCCCGGTCACACGCTAATGTCATTAGTTCGTTATCATTACTAAGGTGCAGGACTGCTTTCCCCCCCTTTTTTTTCCACATCATGTCGCCTGCTTGGATCTGTTATTATCTCGCTCTGAAATACGAAGGAGTGTCAAATGTAAGCTCGCTTCAACTGCTTTTTTATGACGCGGTCTCATTTCGGGACTCAGGCATTTTGTGAATGAAGCTGATATTTCAGTTAAAATACATAAGTAAAATATTTATCCGAGTATAGTACTACCCCCAAATTTATGGATGATTTTATGGATTTAATTTTACGTATTATACTTTAAGTCTTGAGAGTACAAGCTCAAGATTTAAACACTTAACTGAAATACCTAAAATCATACAACCCAGACATCACTGATTTTTGAATAAACTACACTAATTTAGCACCTACCTTTTAGATTAGGTGCAGCTAAAATAAGCTAGTTTAGCTTACGTTAGCAAACCTGCTAGTTTGCTATGCTAAACTAAATGTTTTATGGCTAAATGAGAAAATGCGCGTCTAATTTTGTTTTGTTTAATGCTGACTTATAGATTAAGCTATGCTAAAATAAGCTTAAAAATTGCGTAACCAACATGTGCTAGTCAGCTAAGCTAACTGTACTTTTCATCTTAACATGCACAAATTCATGGCTAAATAAATATTTAACTAATTTAGATTACTTTTCACCAACTTATAAAATGAGAATTAAAAAAAGCTAGTTTAGTTTATGTTAATATGCTAATTAGTTAAGCTAAACTCAACACTTAATCTAAATTTTTTTTATCAATCAATAAGTTTATTTAAATTCTTCTACAAGTAGTTGGTTAAATAAGAAAAACTCAATTTTATTTTTTAAATTCATGGCTAATACTCATTTAAATTATTTTTCACCAACTTATAGATTAAGTTGAGCTAAAATAAGCTAGTTTAGCTTATGCTATGCTAGTTGGCTAAGGTAAACTAAACATTTTATTGTAACTTCATCTACAGGTAGGTGAATCAGTAAGAAAAAGATTGGCTTAATATAGTTTAATACTTGCCTATAGATTTGGTTAAGCTAAAATGAGCTAGTTTAAGTTACATGACCTACATTTGCTAGYGTGCTAAGCTAACTATACTTTCATCTTAGCCTCATCTATAAATTTGTGGCTAAACAAGGATAGACTTATAGAAGAATTGGAGCGATAGTTTAGTTTATGTTAACAAGGTGCTAGTTGGCTAAGCTAAACTAAATTTCTTTATTTTACTGTACCTTTATCTACAGGCAGGAAACTAAATTTATTTCAGCTCTGTTTATTGTAAACAATGAAAACGAAGAATTTTTGGGGTTTAAAATAAAAAAATGGACTGATTATAAATTGAGGCAACGCAACTGGGTAACCAGTCCTTGAGTAATGAGTCAAACCAATTCATTGAATTATTAATAAATCCCATGTCTGAGGAACGAGTTGCTTAGCTGTGGTTAATGGCCCCCCTTTACCCCCCCTTTACTGCTGCCCCTGTTTATGTAGTATACTTTAGACATAAAAAAAAATACAAAAGACATCTTGTGAGTCTGATCTGAATACCACAAATTTAATATTTTTGTGCCTCTTTGACGAGACGCTGCTCTGATAAATAAAAACATCTACATAAAATCAAATGTTTGACAACAAACGAGGTGTTTTGTGTGTTTGAGTTACCTGCGCTGACAGTAACGGCGCTGACAAACTGCTCCCTCCAGCTGCTGCTCCCCACCACCAAGGCCAGGTTTGTCTTCTTGATCAACTTATCTACTGTATTCTATACACACACACACACACACACACACACACACACACACACACACACACACACACATAGACCAAGCAGTGCACAGAAAAAGTTGCAGATTTATTTCCAGCCACAAAGAAAGAGGAAAAAATACTGATTTCAAGCCAGTGAATGTTGCAGAAATATATTTAGATGCTGAGAATTTGGAGGTGCTGCGTGTGTTAATTAATGCGATGGAACTGAAGGTTTTACTGAAATTTACCAAGAAAATAAGCAAAAAAAAGTCATGTTATGGAAAGGGTTTATTGTTAAAGGCAGGGTGTGAAGGAATGAAACATTTGGGAGATGCGTGAAATGATACCTGCTGATTCTTTTTAAGAAGAATATTGACAGCTTTCTGCACACGTACAACACAAACACACACAAAATGGACAAATGAAATGATTGAACAAAGAAACATGATGTCACAAAAAAATGAAGCAATGAGTGACGATGCACAAATGAACAAAGGTTCTGAAATGGTTCTTTTTCAGCTGCTCACAAGATTTTTAATTAYCTTCAGCTAAATTAATGAACTGTTGATCCGTCGCTGGATTGATCACRTCAAAAACATCAGATAAATGATGCAGCGTTTCTAATTTACTGCATCAATGAATGTTTGATTTTTACAGAAATGAGACAAAAGCTTGTAAATAATCTGCAGCCTTATAGTCCTGATCTTTTAAAGCGAAGAAAGTATCTTACCTGCTGCAGATCACTCTTTGAACGAACTCAAAAAATTGACTTTCATAATTGATTGTGACTCGTTTTATCAGAATTAACATTTAATGTGAAGCTGAAGACAAAACTGAGGTAGTTCAAAGAGCTATCTACAACAGGTAAGATAGTTACTGTGTATATTTTTTCTAAAGAACCACACTTTACGAATGTCTTATGAGAGTTTTACTCTTTCGATCACATTCAAACCAGACAAATTAAAGTGGCATATTGCTGGAAACACACACACACTTACCTTAAACTCGTAMGACTCCTCTATGATCACCTCGAGCTGTGTGTGTTCACCCAGACTGGGACAGCCCATCTTGGCCACCTCCTCCTCCTCGGCTCCCACCAGCGGCTTGTTCTCGTTGGAATCACCTGCGTCGACAAATGGACAAAATGCTCGTCAAACTCGATTACGATTTTTTTACAATTCATGACGAGCACTTCTAGAAAATTTACTCAGAACCAGCTTTCAAGTCAGGCCCCGCCTTCGTCTGCCATCCATGGCTCCTCCCCCAGGCCTGGCTCCAGGGTGGAGCCCCAAAAACTGAGGTGTGAGGACTTGTTTTTCCAGTCCCACACTGGAGTCTGGAATTTAATTACCCTCCAGTTTGTAACTGTGTCAAATGATCGTGCGATCTGACAGCAGCTGAATCAGATCATATTTAATTCATTCATTTTCATCTTCCTGTATTTAGCTGCAGTGGTGTGAATTATCACTGAGCAGTATGCGGTGACTGAGAGAAGGAAAGTGCAAATCTTAAGTCATGCGCAGAATCCAAGCTGTCAAACATTTCTCATTAAACAAAAATAAAAAAACATCTGACCTTTTTATCAGCTCGTTACCGCACGTTGAAGCATGTTCTGCTCTGTTCTGTCAGAAAGTCTGTGTCTGCAGTCGCTTTTCACAACGACTCGACGGTTGAAAAGCAGAACGTGTTGCTGTAAGCGTGCGGCGGTTAAATGTCAGGCTGCTCGCTCTTTGACCGTGTTAGAAAACTCATTACAGTTCTTATATTTTTATAAATATTTGCCACAAAGTAGAGCACAATGTGGGTACAGGTCGCTTTTACTGTCTGCACCATTCAGGATGGTGTAAACAGGTCTGACACCTGGTCTGACACCTGGACTGACACCTGGTCTGACACCTGGTCTGACACCTGGTCTGACACCTGGACTGACACATGGTCTTGACACCTGTTCTGACACCTGGTCTGACACCTGGTCTGACACCTGTTCTGACATCTGGACTGACACCTGGACTGACACATGGTCTTGACACCTGGACTGACACCTGGACTGACACCTGGACTGACACCTGGTCTGACACATGGTCTTGACACCTGGACTGACACATGGTCTTGACACCTGTTCTGACACCTGGTCTGACACCTGGTCTGACACCTGTTCTGACATCTGGACTGACACATGGTCTTGACACCTGTTCTGACACCTGGTCTGACACCTGGTCTGACACCTGGACTGACACCTGGACTGACACCTGGACTGACACCTGGTCTGACACCTGGTCTCACACCTGGTCTGACACATGGTCTGACACCTGGACTGACTCCTGGTCTGACACCTGTTCTGACACCTGGTCTGACACCTGGTCTGACACCTGTTCTGACACCTGGTCTCACACCTGTTCTGACACCTGTTCTGACACCTGGTCTCACACCTG